TCATGCTATTTTATATTGTACTATGTTGTCTTATAGTTTACATAGTATTAATATAAATTACTTATGAAATAATTTATCTATAGAGCTTAGTGATACAATTGTACAACTTTGGGTTAGTAATTCTAATTTTTATGTATTTTACCTTAGCTTTCAGGCTAGACTGTCCATACTGGAATGACTGTAAATTTTTATAGTTCTCATGTTATTTTATGCTGGTCAGGGACTGAAGTAAAAGTTTTATTTAATTACTACATCCTCCTTGTCTGTATGTCTCACCAGGTGGCAGAACAGGGCTGACCTTGTCTGAACTCGAAGCTAATCAGAGTAGAGCCTGTTTAGGGTATGGGTGGGAGATCAGAGAATAGTCTGGCTAGATTGGGAGGTTGAAAAGCGTCCCCAAGGAAGGCACTAGGCAAAGTACTTGCATGTTATTGCCAAGAAAACCATCTGTCTGTGTCCTCACTGAGAACCAAACTCCACCTGAGCACATCTTTATGTAGCTCTATAGCAGTGAGTGTGTGAACTCACACGGATTGGGCTTGAGCTGAGATCCCTGTCCTGATACTCAGCGGGTGTCTATGCAACAATCTCTAGCCCTCAGTGTAATCTGGCTTTCAGATTATGAGGATTAAACAGACGCGATATGTGCTATCTCAGGCCTCCCCAAGAAGGACTGCATGTGTGTGACAGACAGGCTGATTGAGCTGCTGTGTCTGGCTCCTTTCTTTTTCCTGCCGCATCCTTACACAAAAGGGAAAAAACAGTGATAGTTGTCTATGAGGATACAGTTATACTTCTAGCATGCATCTGTTGCATCTTTTTTAACACCCCTTTCCTAGTTATTTGCAAATAATGAAAATACTCTTCGTTTTGTCTCATAATACAAATACATCTCATAATTTTCTTTGCTGTTAAAGTGAAACCTGCGCTGGTTTGACATTATAGATCTCCTCGGCGGCATAGATCTAGTTCTGCTTCTCCTTCCCGGCAGAAAGAAAGGCGAGATGATGAGAAGAAGGAGAGCAAAGATGTCAAAGGCAAAGAGCGACAAATCACAGGTAACGAGACAGATGGCATTCCTTGCTGTTGTGATCCGGGTTTCCACGCTCTGCTTTGCACACTGGAATTATATAAGGACAGGGATCCCTTTGAGCAATGTATATTGGACAATTTGATCATTTCCTGCTTTGAGAGAGGAGAGCACCTGCCTGCCTCTTTACTGAAAGCTAATTCTTAATGCCTTATACTTAAGCCTTAAAAGCTTTCCACATCATTCTTTATCTTTTATGATAAAGCTGTGTTTGTTTCCAGTGCATATTCCTCTCTGATTACTGGTTATGGGATAGTATACTTTTTGAGCACTTTTCTGAAAATATTTTGTTCAGAATTGCAGGACTACATGTATAGGGTAAAAACCATTTGCAACATAAACAGAAAGATATGAATTGATAAAACGAGAAACAAAATAGTAGCCATATAACACATTGGACCTAGTGCAATAACTTCTGAGTTTATGGGGGACTCTATCGGGGGATCAGTTTCCTGAGGAAGAGGAAAATATGCTTGTGGGGATTAGACCAGTGAATGACTGTTTTTATATATGTGTTGTTTTATTGGATTATTGTACACTACCCAGAGTCACCTTTGGTGAGATGGGCAGCCATATAAATTTTATTAATAAATAAATAAATAATAAATGCTTTTCTAGACCATACCCATAATAGTGTTAAAAGTTAACTAGGAGAATCTAACTGGATGTACCCAGGAAATGGGCAATGCCTCTTTAAATGAGGACTTATTCCCCATCCTTGAATGAGACAGTGGTGTGACCTTTTTGGAGAAGACTCTCCCCAGATCTTGCAGTTCAGGCCCAATTGCTATATCCCTTTTTTGGACGAGGCCATGGTGAGACTGGTGGCCATCCAGCTATAAGCCCAGCTATAACAAAGGAAAACCCTTGGTTGCCCTGATTTTTGAGACTAGAATTTGCTGCTGTGTTGATGCTCCTGGATCTTTCAGGAACATTTAATATCCTTGATGTTAGATATTGCTCAGGTTGGGAATGAGATATTTTATCTCCCTGTCATGTCCTGTTGTCTTGTGCAGAAGAAGATCTGGAAGGCAAAACAGAAGAAGAAATTGAAATGATGAAAATGATGGGGTTTGCATCATTTGACTCCACAAAGGCAAGCAGATTTTTTTCTTAATTTTTAAAATGTGTATATAAGCTACAACTGCTGTTAAAGTGGCAAGCTTCACGGATATCTGCACTGCGGTTCACAGGAGCACTGTGGTTATGCAATGTGGTGGTGAGTGCTGAATCCAACTTTTGAGAAACTCTGCTATGCTTTACAAAAAGAGCAAACCATTCTTTTTGCAAAGAGATGTTTGCATGTGTTGTTTGAGCAATACCTCTGAGTTATCACAAGCTATAAAGTCTGATGAATCCATTTCCATGTAGTTAAAGATACCCTTAAATTAACGTGCAAAATGTAAGGGGAGGAGGACCAAGAAGTACGATAAAGGAAAAGAAACTCTTCTTATCATATATGCATTTTCTCTAAGCACAGAACTTGAAGTTCCTCAACAGAGATCCTCTTTAATGTACAGTTGGCCAGAAGAGAGCAGCTCCTTTTCTGCAGCTTATTGTTTTCCCATAGATATGAAGCAAAATGAGCCTGCTATGATTAATGTATCTGTTTTGCTTTAGAACTGTACAGCAACAAAAAGTGAGACCCAAAAGGCTCTCTGATGTTGTCACTCTATCATTCCCATGCTCTTGAAGACCAAAATGAAAGAAATTACTCATCCATGGCTCCCTGACCAAAGGGAGGTAGTCCTTCCCCAACTGTAGCACACCAATCAAAAGGTATATTGGTGTAGTAATTTTGCAGGGCTGCCTGGTCAGCCTGTCAGCTTTAAAACATTCTAAAAGGGACAGACCGTGGGACTGTCACAGAGAATTTACACACTGGTGAGAAGTCACTGTGAGTGTCTTTGACTATATAGAAATTCCTAGTAGCTATGTTTTTGGACAACTTCAGAATTTATTGCTTCCTGGACAGTGATCACCACGCATTAACTTAAACCTGTTTGAAGTTATTTGTGGAGAATCTATTCCAACCCAATTTAAACACATATCTTCTCATATTACGTGACTGAGAAACATAAATTCCTGTCTTACAAGGACCTCAAACTTCACCCATCTTTTACAGATCTGAGCTTTCATGACTGCAAACCTAGCAGGCCAGGATACTCTAATTGCCCACAAGGAACTCCTGGGTTTGTTAACAATATTTCAATAACTATGATTGATTGATTATTTGCCACCAAGTTAGTGTCGACTCTTAAGATAGATTGTGTCCAGGAAGATCTGTCCCCAACCTGGTCCTTCAGGTCTTCCAAGGGTGCACCCATTGCTGCTGTAATTGGTGTGCCTTGCTGCTGGTCATCCTCTTCTCTTTCCTTCCACCTTTGCCAGCATTAGAGCCTTCTCTAGAGAGCTCAGACTTCATGTAGTGGGTCCAAAGTAAGATAATCTGAGCCTGGTCATTTGTGCCTCAAGTGAGAACTCTGGGTTGATATGTTTAATAATCCACTTGTTTTCTTGGCTGTTCACAGTATTCTCAGGAGTCTTCTCCAATACCAGAGTAGTTCAGAGTTCAAAGTTCATCAATACTTTTCCTATCCTCCAGGTGCAGGGTCCACTTTTTTTTTTTTTGGATCAACTGAATGTTGATCCATTGGTTGCGCAGGAATTGACCGACTGGCTTGTTGCCCAAGTCTGACATGGGCTAAGAGAGTGGGACTGGCCCAAAGTCACCCAGCCAGCTTTCATGCCTAAGGCGGGACTAGAACTCACAATCTCCTGCTTTCTAGCTTGATGCCTTAACCACTAGACCAAACTGGCTTTCTATATGTCAAATTAAAATATGACATCTAGAATCCAAATCTGGGATCTGGCACAATTCCAAATATAGAATTATAGTACAGAAATGGTTTCCAAATAAGATTGAATTGTACATCAGGTTGAGTTGAATAACAAGAAATTATTCTTAGAGATCAAGGCATATTCCCACATTTAATTAGCCATTCTTCCATAGAGGGCATCCAAATTGTTTATTGCATTTCCAGCTATTTAGGGAAAAGGAGTTACTCACTGTAGTAATCATGACTGGAGTAATGTACTAGCAACCAAACCACTTATACCAATTCTCTCTAAGTATTATGTTTGAGGTAAACTTAATATTCTTGGCCATTGAAATTCCCACTGTATTTTGCATCCGTTTATTTATTCAATCTTTGACTTGGTCAGGTCTAAATCATATTTCACTAATAGATTAGAAAATGTGCCCAGTAAATGTTCAGTAATGAATTATAAGATTTTCAAATTCAGTCAAATTCAGTCTCAATATTCCCCCTTGTTTTCATAATTCTCTGTTTCCTATGCTGCATATTTGAAAGTTTTGGAACCAATTGAGTGTGGAAGAGCACTGTGTAGCCAATGATATGAGAGATCTAAATTTTGTCCAGTTAATAATAATATCTGAACAGATTATTGCTTCTCCATTGAGCAAATTTCTTAGTGCTTTTTTCATCATAAAAGTAGACATTCAGTAAGGAAGCAAGAGGGGAGAAGTCTGGACTTAATTCTTTTGCTGAATTTATCCCAAACATTCAGTAAGTTGCTTAATATTAAATGGTCTCCAGAATAGTTTATTTCTGTGTATATCAATCCAAATATATCTAGGCAGCCCCTGTGGAAGGTCTGCCCTGTCCATTAAGGTGACGGTGTCATAAAGAAATATAATCCATTCTGAAATCCATATTAGGCAGCTGTCATGATAGTACAATTTGAAATTTGGAGCCCCCTTGTTCTTTTGAATTTTGCAAGTTCTTGGATTTAACCCTTGGCCTTTTGTTAGATCATATGCAGTTCATTTCTTGTCTATGCCAGTTGTTTAATGCCTTATTCTCAGTAGGAACTGGAATAATTTGATATAGAAAATTTAGTCTTAGTAAAATATTCATTTTGATAGCTGCAGTTCATCGGGGCCAAGATAGGTAACATTTCTTCCAACTAGAAATCATATATTTCCAGTTTGGTAAATAATTGTTCTTGAATAATGTTTTATTGTAGAGATTGCAAATAAATGTTGATAACACAACATTTATGGTTTTCTCTAACATACCCAAAAAGCTTACCAAGATAGTTAATGAACAGTATATAGAGAAGTTGATGTGCTTTAAATATTAGAGGGTTTCCATAGTCCAGGTAGTAACTGTGTTACTCATAATGTCCAAAAGAGTGATCTCTTCCCAGCTACAATTAAGCTTTTGGTTGTTAAACCCCTAGCTTGTATGTTCTTCAGTGCAAAATTTGAACAGATATGAGACCACCCAGTTAAATTTTTTGAGAATGCCATTTCAGATAAAGACCAGGGCATGGATCAGTGTCTTCAGCTTATGGCTACAGAGGATTTTCCTTCCACAGGCCAACTTCTTTAATACTTGCTGATAAGCATGCAACCAGTTGGAATTGTGAGGTTTGAAGTAATGACCTCAGAGATCATTTAGTCCAGCCACCCACTTGGTGCAGGGTTTGATAAAGCAGTTCAGAAGATGGCTGCCTAACCTCTGCTTGAAGGTTTTCAGTGAAAAGGAAACACACCACATCATGAAGCAGCCTATTCCACCATCAGCAGCTCTTATCGCCAGGAATTCATCTTCATATCCAACCCGAATCTACTTCCCTGTACTTTCAGCCCATTGCTTCTGGTTCTGTCTTTATTTGTCTCATCCCTAGTATAGAATATATAAATTGCTGTAGTCCTTTGAACTGCATATTTCAGAACACAGTTACCAGTTTGCTTCTGGTGCTGGTTATCATCTTTAAAGCCCTACAGAGCTCAGAACCTAAAAAAGGACCACCTCCCAATGGTTTCTGCCTAGCCAATAAGACAGGCTAAGGGTAAGCTCTCCCTTCTGATCCTTTCTCTTAACAATTGTCAGCTTCAGGAGCCCTGGAGTCCAACCTTCTCAGTTGCAGTCTCCCTTCTTTAGAACAGCATACCTCCCAAGATCAGGTTAGCTCCCACCTTCTTAAGTTTTAAGGAAGCCCTTCAAACATGGCTTTTCCAGAGATTCCAAGAACTTTGGGAATGAGTGTGCAGACTCTGACACCCTGGGTGGTTGGGACTGTTGTGAGTTGTGGCTTTTGTTTAATGCCCCGATTGTCGGTGGATTCCCCTGCTCTTTTACCATTCTCCCTATCACTTGCCTGGAAGGGAAAACTGGCAGAGCCCTTATCAGTTTCTCCTGGTTCAAAAAAGGGAGGGGCCACACCACTGCACTCCCTGAACTTGTTTTTAAAAAATGGCCAGCTTTTCACCATTCCACCGGTGAGCTTGGGTTCAGCTTTTCACTGTTCCACTTATTTAAAAAATGCCCAGATGAAACAAAATAGTGAACCTCTGAAACATCTCCTGGTCAAGGTCCCATCAGAAGGGGAAGGCAGCCCAGGACACAGTGATGCTGGAGGGCAGGAGCCCATGGCTGAAGGAGAGGGAGCCTCCCAGAGTGCCACAGGTGCAAAGTAGCCAGCTGGAGGGGAGGCGTTTGCTGGCAGTAAAATGAAGTGCACCAGGCGAACAGGCAGCAGCAGCGCTTGTGTTGGCACAAGGTAGTGAGTACTAGAAGGTGGGTGGAGGTTGCCTTTTGGTCATGCCTTCCTGCCTTTGAGAGTCAGTAGCCCATAATCATGTTGGGCAACTTGGTCATGCATCATCGTCATCACTTATGAAATTCATATGCCACCTGACTCCCAGTCACTCAGAGTGGTAAGATGCAGATCAGCTTTTAGTTGTTTTGAATGCCAGGACTGAATTGAGTTACTTCCCCCTCTCAATAGTGGCATCTGTTAAAAAGCAAGGTGGCAGATGCAGTGTCATGGTCCAGCTTTAGTACGTGGGCAGATGGCGTCATCCATCCGCAGATTCCTTTACTAGAGAGAGATTCCATACTTGGCATGCAAAGGTTCCTTGCTAGCAATGCCTTGTTGTGGGAAAAGTGATCAGAAGGTGAGTCGCTTGAGAACAATTAGACTCACTTGGCTTCGTAGCAGGGTTAGCAGAGTTCCAAAAAGTAAAATATTAAAAAAAGGAACACAAAATGGAACTAGATTTCTTAAAACATAGCAATGTAATTACATTATTATTCTGCCTTTCCTCTGAGGCTTATAAGCAAATTCTTCTCCTGCCTTCCCATTCTTCTGTGGCTTCTGGGTAGTCTGCAAACCTGCTCCTGAGTCTGAGAACTGGGAGTAATGTGGAATGAAACATGTTGGGCCGCCAACGGAGGAAGAAATTGGTGAGAGAAGAAACCTTCGGATTCAAGTTTCTCTTTTCCTTCAGCCAAGTGTTGCCACCCTTTTGGTTGTTTGAAAGTAACTGTTTTTTCTTTGTCTTACAGGGCAAGAAAGTAGAAGGATCTGTAAACGCTTATGCTGTAAATGTCTCACAGAAACGGAAATACAGGTTGGCATTTATCCCCTTGCACAGATTGGCCTGTGAGCACAGGAGCTCCTGGCCCCTCCTAAGTCAAAGGGTGGAGCGCTTGCTCAGCATCACTTGATTCACATAATCCTTGCAAAAATTGCTTTGTGTTCCTTCTTACTCTTTTTAGAAACAAAATGTTTCTGACTTTATGAAAGGCGTTGGAGAATTCCCTAATCGTTTACTTTGCTCCAGAACAGCTAGGTGTAGTGGTTAAGGTGTTCAAGTAGGAGTGGGGAGACCCAGATTCTAGTCTGCACTCAACTACAGAGGCTCCCTGGAGGACTTTGTGGTTGTTCCTCCCTCCCAGCCAAACCTACATTACAGGGCTGTTATTGTGGGAAGGAATGCTAGGTGTGCTGTCTTGAGTTCCTGAATGAAAGTCTAATAAATTATACCTGCTAATATTAATTGATTTAAGATTAATGACTGGCGTGGGTCTTCCGGGCTGTGTGGCCGTGTTCTGGAAGTTCTGTTTCCTAACGTTTCGCCAGCCCCCTTGGTCCGCACATTTCTCTGCGGC